TTAAGTTACAGGTATGTGATAGTAATGAAAGAGTCAAAAGCGTGATAGTTTCTGTAATCTCCAGCGGAACCCGGCATTACACTTGGTCTACCCGTGCATCTATCTCTGTCCATGTTCCGATCTGGAAGGGTCATTGACTTTATGGCGGAGGAGTTGTTAGCTGTTGTTGGAGTTGCTTCTGAAGAAGAGTAGACTCTGAATTGATTTTAAGATATCAGAGTGGGGAGTTAGCTTAGGACATAGGCAAGAGGGTTGCAAGAAGCAGGGAAAATTACAGCACCCTTAAAAGAAACAGATGGCTCTCCTATTCGATGAAAAATGCCTTTGGATGTAGATTGATTGGTTTGTCGTGTTGTGAATATCCCTATTGGAGTTCCTGGGTTGGTAGTGCGCACAGTTAGCTCATTGCTAAGGAGAAGTTGAAGGCTTGTCTCTATGAGTGGTCATTTATTGAATTTCAAGTACCCAACTATTGACAACCTATGGAGTACAGCTCTGTTTTGATGCACACAGGAGATCACTTGTGTCAAAATGGACTGAATGGTAACTGGTGTTTTTAAAATAACTGTTAAGTTCAGAGATAATCAAGTAATTCTCAGGAGAAAAGTTTCAGCTATAGATATGTGAATTGTGCATGATTGTAAAATGGCATGAGGCAGTGGCTGATCTCCAACTTCACAAAGGGGGAAGGAGAGTGGAAATCGGTGTCAGACCGAGCCAATTACTGTGAGGCACAGCTCAGACACACCTCCACCCTCCAGCTTTTTTTTAAAAACCAGTTTTGACATGTGTCTCCCAGAGCACTCTCTCCTTTTCTGCTGTGCATGATTGGTAATTGCAGTGGTGACACAGTACTCACAGACAATCTCAGTATTAGAGAGTTTATTAGGAGTCTTAGCAGCTTACAATTCAAAATCAGAAACACTCAGGATACAATTCTTCCATTCAGGAGCCATATGTGTGCACATCTTCTGTGGTCCTTGCCCTCTCAACCATGTAGCCCGTAGGCCTCTGCCCTGCTTGGCATGTGTTAAAAAGTGTTGCTAGCACTCCTTTGAAACACCCAAAAGGGCACAGTACTGCACCATAAACCTTAGCCAAAAAGTATTTGACTTGGCTCTCTGAGTCGGTAAACTTACCTCCCTGAATTAAGTGCCTGAACATTAGGCACCCCATTTTGCAGGGAAGCCCACTGCTCTGTCTCCTGCTGTTTTCCCCCACTTCTACATTACACCTCTGGTTTATAGACTTTGTCTCCTGATTTTTTTTTTTTTAGTTAGTCAAGGAAAATGACATTTTCCGTCTTTATCGATGTTTATATGAGTGTCATTTTAAAAGCTTTAATTTCCTCCTATCATGTGTGATTTTTTTTTGTTTTTGTTTTTTTTGTTCTATTTTTTTTTTTAACATTTTATTAGGGGCTCATACAACTGTTATCCCAATCCATACACACATCAATTGTGTAAAGCACATTTGTACATCGTTTCTCAAA